AAAAAAAAAAAAAAAACAACTTCCTAAGCTTTAAAAAAGCAGACAGAGTATGTAGTTTATGTCTCAGGGTCATGATGTGTTAAATGTACTGTTTTGGGGGGTGGTCTTGCTCTCTGTTCACCCAGCTGGACTACGGTGGCACAATCACAGCTCACTGCAGCCTCTATCTCCCAGGCTCCAGGGATCCTCCTGCCTCAGTTTCCCAAGTAGCTGGGACTACATGCACATACCACCATGCCCGGCTAATTTTTTTAGAGAGAGGGTCTTGCTATATTGCCCAGGCTGGTCTCAAACTCCTGGGCTCAAGCAGTCCTCCCGCCTCAGCCTCTCAAAGTGCTGGGATTACAAACATATAAGCCATGGTGCCTGGCCTAAGTGTACTTTCAAATTGGAAAAATTGGCGCGGTACAGTGGCTCACGCCTGTAATCCCAACACTTTGGGAGGCCAAGGCAGGTGGATCACCTGAGGTCAGGAGTGCGAGACCAGCTTCAAGACCAGCATGACCAACACAGTTAAACTCTGTCTCTATTAGAAATACAAAAATTTGCCAGACATGCTGGTGCACGCCTATGATCCCAGCTACTCAGGAGGCTGAGGCAGGAGAATCATTTGAACCTGAGAGGCGGGGATTGCAGTGAGCTGAGATCATGCCACTGCACTCCAGCCTGGGCAACAGAGTGAGATTCTGCCTCAAATAAATAAAAATAAATAAGTAAATAATTGGAAAAATTACTCATTTTGGCAAAGCCTTACATCATGGCCATGTGGGGACTGGAAATGGCCGAGGAGCGAGCAGACCCAGGTTGCCCAGCCATTCCCCGTTGTGACTGGCAGATCTAATCACCCACGATACTTAGAGTATTTTCTTGGGACTGATACACTGGAGTTGAGTTTGCAAGTCGAAGGCACACAGGATGTGACTTCACCATGTCTGCAAGGACATGCCAACTATGGGGGTGATATGTCTTTCCCCTCTTTGCGAAGGAGGGGGAGAGATGGAACCTGAAGAAGGCACCTCATCATGTCCTCTCTGGGGCGCTCTCCTTGCAGACTGGAGGACTGTGGCATCACGGCCACAGGTTGCCAGAGTCTGGCCTCAGCCCTCGTCAGCAACCGGAGCTTGACACACCTGTGCCTATCCAACAACGACCTGGGGAACGAAGGTGTGAATCTGCTGTGTCGATCTATGAGGCTTCCCCACTGTCGTCTGCGGAGGCTGATGTGAGTCTGGCTTGCTCCCCTGTGAGGACTTCCTAGCTTTCTAACATAGCGTGGTATAGCTCTCAAAGCAGAAAGCAGTGGGGTGGGGTGTGGACATCGTCATATGAAGGGACCTAGTATGTGCTGAATTCTGTTCACATCTCCTAGATGTCATCCTTTCTTGGAAAATTCTGTGTCTGCCTTTGTGTTACCTTACAGTGGGAAGTCATTTGTTCAAGGACAGTCAATTCTCATAATTGGAGGTCATCACGTTCTACAAAGTCACCCTTGAGCACTGAACCAGCCAGCACCGAGCCATTGCCCCTGGGAGAGGTACAGGGTTAGCTTCCTGTGAACCTCTACTCACGTTTTCATCAGTCGAAAACTTTGTATTTCTTGTTTCTGTTCAATGGCTTTTACTTGATACACATTGTTCATTCGTTAACATTGAGCGCATGACCAACGGCACCGTGACTCGTGCCTGACAAAGCCCACCTGACACAGGTGATGGAACTCACAGCCTCCCCACCCTCCCCAGCATTGGAGGGTACTTTGGTGCTATGCTAGGTCATTTTAAACAACAGAATTGCAGCGGTGTGCGGTGGCTCACGCCTGTAATCCCAGCACTTTGGGAGGCTGAGGCGGGTGGATCACTTGAGCTCAGGAGTTCGAGACCAGCCTGGCCAACATGGCGAAACCCTGTCTCTACTAAAAATACAAAAAAATTAGTTGGGCGTGGTGGAGGGCACCTGTAATCCCAGCTACTCAGGAGGCTGAGGCAGGAGACTGCTTGAACCCAGGAGGCAGAGGTTGCAGTGAGCCAAGGTCATGCCATTGCACTCCAGCCTGGGCAACAAGAGTGAAAC